ATAGACCCTGAAACAGTGCTGAATGGAGAGGAACCAGTCTGTCCAATACACCTTACCTTAACTTCAACGTCCTATAAAGAAGTTGAAACGATAATAAACTCCCTGAAATCCAAAACATCAAGTGGAATAGATGAGTTTTCCTCTAAGATGATAAAGCACTGCTCCCAAGAACTCATCTCTCCTCTGGTTTATCATATAAATAAATCATTTAAAGAAGGCCTCTGAATTTCAGTAAGAAAAAAGACATATAGTCCCTCAATTAGAGGATGTAACAATAGAAAACCATACAAAATGTCTCGGTGTTATCCTTGATAACAAACTAACATGGAAAGAGCACATCAACCACCTAAGCAAAAAAATCAGTGCCGGAATATATGTTGTCAGAAGAATAAACTACATAGGCGGACTCTCTGTGGCCAAAACAGCTTACTTTGCACTGGTAGAGTCGCATATTAGATATGGCTTGACAGTGTGGGGAGGAACTTCAACAAAAAATATGAATCGAATCCTTGTTCTTCAGAAGAAAGCCATAAGAGTCCTCGCCAACCTTGTCCCACCACAGACTTGCAGACTAGCATTCGCAAACCTAGGAATCCTCACAGTGGTGTCTCTCTACATACTTGAAACCATAAAGTATGTGGATGAAATAAACCCCCCAAGAAACCAAGGCCTGCACCACTACAACACCTGTCATGGCTCCAAATTTGCCCTACCAGTTCACCGAACAACTCCTTGGAAAAAAAACCTTCCTACACCGGCTGCAAACTGAGGAACCATCTACCTGACTACCTGAGAGACCTGACTGGCAACAAGCTACACTAGAAGTTGAAGAAGTGGCTAATCGCAAGACCCTTCTACACAATAAAAGAATTTTACGAAAATTATGGAAATTAACACATACAATTCACTATTGTAATTCTTAACGAATGAACAATAAAGAATATTGTATTGTATTGTATTGTATTAGTTTGCTTATTTATGGATATTTTTATCAAACTTGGCAAATTTATTTATGTAGCTCAGACTCTTTTGCGATTTCTTTTTTGATTGTTTTTGTGGGGATCACTGTATTGGAGATTTGAAGTAAGGTTTCAACATTGATTGTGTTTATTTCTTTGCCAAATGTTAGTTCAGATGATTTTTTTTTAATTTTTATTATTATTACTAGCTGACTTTTTGTTTTTATTATATGAAACTCGTCTTGGTGTATTAATTGGCTTGAAAGGAGTCTCCTTTTCTCAGTTATTAGGCGCTGGGAATCTTCTACTGTTATTTTATCTTCTAATTTCTTCATTTTTGAAGAAACTACAATATTTTACAATATTACCCATAAGTATAACATGGGATTATAAATATTTATTTTTTTGAATTTTCTCCGTAGCCGAAAACTGTACAAAAACACCTTAGTATACTAAATTGTTTGTCGCAGCTCACTCGGAATAACAAGTCGGTCTTCCATATATATCAGATCATCGTATAAATGTAATTTATACCTTTTTCCCCAAAAAGGGTGAGCTTTGTCATCACAATTTTGTTTGTGTTTAGGCCACCCATGTTCTATGTAAAAACGTACTTGCTTTAGTGTGGCATCACTTTCTGTAGCATGTTTATGTCTATTTACTCTAGAAATGAGATCAGTTCTTGGCATGTTTTAAGCCCTAATATGGGAGAGGCATCGTCATTCATAATGTAGAATGTTGCTAAAAAGTTTGTTTTAGAACCCCCCAGTGTACAATTTAGAAGGCAAGTACCTACAACTTTGATGTTACCTACCTGGAGTCGTCATGTTAGCGCCAGGAGCTAATTGTTGATAAAGCTTGTAAGGAATAACATTGACGTCGGCGCCAGTATCGATCTTAAAAGATATGTCAACCCCACTTACGGTAATATTCTGACGCCAACTATGCTTGGAATATACAGTATTGACAACAATAGTTTCAATACTTATGTCCTGACTCTCACCGCTAATTCCCACTTCATTAAGGCGGTTTCACACTGGCATCCGCGGACGTCGTCCGCGGACGGATGCGAAAATAAATCGCTGCCCATGTTATCAGATGGGACCGTTCACACCGCCCATTGAAACGTAGCGTCCATCCGCGGATGCAGAAATTCGTCCGTGGACGATTTGGCGGAATCGCTCTGGGAGCAATTTTTCTAAAACATCCGCGGACGATCACGCCCTCGCGCATGCGCAGACAGAGCACCAAACCACGTGTAGCTCTCAGCGAGGCATGTGTCACTCGCATCACAGTGTTTAGTAGTTTGTGTTTACAGTCATAGTGTTCATCTAGTTGTTGTTTTGTGTCCTCCCTTGTTGTTTGTTATGGCTGAATTAATTGAGGCTGTCCGTGCCTACCCAGTTATCTGGGATACAACTATAGAAATTTATAGAGATCAACAAGAGAAAGATAAAATTTGGTTGGAAATTGCGACTACACTCCAAAGATATTACAAAGAGAATAAAGTATCCTAACCAATAACCATGTATATTTATACGAATTACTGTACAGTAAATCATTATTACAATGATTTGTATTACTATGATTATTTGCATTATTACAATGATTCACCAAATCGCTGCCGCTTACTGTTAATCGGATGAACCCACTTTCTCCTTAATGAGTACAAAAGTACAACCTCGTCGTCACTATCATCACTACTTGAATCAAGCCACAGAACAGAAAATCCGGGTTGACACCATGGGACAGAAGGCTCAAACATTTTGCACACCTCCACTGAGTTGTAAGAGGAAGTATGTTTAATCTATGATTGTAGTAGGAATTGCCAACTTCCCTATGCGCATGCGCGAATGAGTGGACGCTTGAAACGTAGCTCGCAATGTGAAGGGGGTGCGTAGCATCCATCCGAATCATTTCATCCGTCCGCGGACGATAATTTCGCCAGTGTGAAACCGCCTTTAGTTTCAATGTCCTTGTTAGATTCAATGTTATGCATGCTTTGGGACTTACAGGCGTTTGCAAAAAAAGTAAACACATGTCATCTTATCTTATCTTACTACTCTTATAAATGTGAAAGTTTGTGTGTTTGTTTATTTGTACCTATGTTTGTTTATTCGTTTATTTGTTTGTATGATGTTCAATCACGCATTAACTACTGGACGGATTGTTCGGTATGATGATAGCTCACATTCCCGATTAACATATAGACCTATTCTTATCTCAAAAATCCTTTTGAGCTCCGCCCCAGTTGCTCTGTAGTTCCCCATGTTAACCTTATGAGTAATTATATTTAAAATGAATTAAAGAATTTAGTCAGCTGTTTCAACTAAACAAGTCGGTTTTATGATATGCGTTAGTAGTATTAAAAAAATTATAAGGTTTACCAACATGGTGCAGCGCTATTATTATTAATTTTTTGTTGCATTTATGACAGTAGAAGATAATTTGAACTAAGCAGCAACAGAAAGCTGTGATACATTATGAGAACTGTTAAAGTAAGATTGTTTACAGTTAGGGTATGTTTATGTTTTTAATTTAATGAATAATTTGTGATAGATAATTTATTTTTTTGTTTAGGTGCAGTGGTAGAACATTATGGCTGTGGTAGGTGTGTTATTCTATAGCATGCTGTAAATTTAAAGAACCAAATTTTATCAAACTTTGTCCTCCCCCATTGCAAACGCAAAGCTTGAATATAACTGCAATACACATTTTATACTTATATATGCCAACCCTGTACGATGGACGGGTGCTCTGCTAGTTGATAATAAACATAACAGGTTGCAATGGTGACAATAACTTCATGTTCATAACACTAATGTTACAATCACTACCTACTGGAAATACCAGCTCCAGTCTGTACGGGATTAACCTGAAACTCCCCCCATTATAGAAGTGATTTGTAAAACAAAAGCAGGAGTTTAGTATAGGAGCTTCGCTTGCTTTGCTCCCTCTGCTCAATAATAACCTACATGGGAAACTCGCTAAAACACTGTTTACATTTGTTTGTTTGGATTTCTAATTTAAGTCTAGCTGTTTCATTTGCAATTCCACTAAAACCAAATATAGCTGTTTTTTACCAAATTTCCCTATAGCTACCCGGGCCCGGTACGGTGGCTATTACTGTAGGTGGCACTGTAAGACCTAGACCCGGGACTGCTATGCTTTTTCATTTTGATATTTCTAGAGGCCAAACAAGTTTAGCTGGAACAAATCTGCATCTATGTGTTTTATGCGTTTTATGAGTGGACCATCAGTTGATGATATGTTCAAATAAAAATTTGAACAATAATACTCATTAAAATAATACTCTGGTCAAAAAATGTGGGTGGTTTTAGGGGAAGAAATCCATAAAGCAGAAAAACGTTATATGGGAACTTCCCCTGAAAACACCAAGACTGGAGACAGCATCATAACCAAGAATCATTAAAAATTCACACATTTTTTCTACAAGTTAAAAATATTTCAATGTTGTATATACAGTGTTGAAAATTGGGTATCTATAAAGAAAATTATATCATTACTGATTTTCAAATTCTTGACCCCTTTTTTGATAACAAAGTATTTCTCAAACTTGGCACTCTCAATAAACATTACGCCAAGTTTGTGGGACTAATGTTCGCATGGAAATTTCACTTGTTTCATTCTGTAACAATATTTATGATAAAAGGCAATAAGGAAAGTCGAAAACTAATGTTTCCAACACCGATTCATGTAATGATCATGACATGAGGTTCACTATGGTACCACATATATCACACTGTGCTGGTAGAGATCAACGTGAATTGTGTCAAATATAATTTATCACGGTGGTATGTACCATTTGCAAGTCCTAAATCTTTTAATTCTACTCATCAACACATCTTAGATGGTAATGTTTTGAATGGAACTTTAAAGTTAAACTTTTTCAAATAGCAACCCCGCTGCCTTAAGGCTGTTAAATAATAATGAACTTCCTATAAAACAAAGGATATAATTTTTGTCTAAGAGACTAGCTTTAAATTCACATGAGTAACTCGGGAAAGAAGAAACGATTCATAGTTTAGGAAATTGTTTCTTTACTGCTTATAATAAGAACATTTAGTGCTAAATTCAAATCTTGCTTGACATTTTCACTCATATTAATTCCGATAAGTACACATACGAAGACATCTCACCACTTATGTTAAAAATAAATAAACCGAATAAATGTAGTTGAAATTCAGATGTTGCGAAGTATGTAGTTGGTTGGAGTTGGTCGCCTCATGTTGTTGTTGTTGTTGTTGTTGGTGTTTACTCTTCCTCCTCTTCATTGGAGGCACCGACCAGCAGCTCAATGAGAGCCTCAGTGTCAATGTTGCCCTTCTCATCAATCACCATGGCCTCAAATGCGTCGTCTACCTCCTTGGCGGAGAACTTCTCACCCCAGGTGGTCAGGGCGTGTCTCAGCCTGCACAAACACAATCACTTAATGTGTACAAGTATACTATTGCTACAGTTTTTAAATGTTTAATCATCATTTAAGTGGTTTAATTAACATTCAGATAGGTCGGTGTCAGGTTATGGTTCATGTTCTCACGTTGTATCAAATTCGGAACAGTTATCGGATTGACATCATTCAGCAACCTATCTTTTGAGTTTATACCTTTAGCTACTCACTATGTAAGTCATTAATACTTGTTCATTATTTACTCATAGGAAAGTTTGTTTATAACACTATCTTACTTTTTTTCTGATTTCAACATCAAGGACTACTTGTTGGCTTAAAAAAGCAGTAAACAAGTTTAAGCAGGATGAGAAACATTACTATTGTTACCTTGACAAAATGAGCTTTTAAGTGTTTCCTACCATCAAATAGTCGGAACCCCCAACATGTGCCCCTTGTCTTGAACCACAATAATCACTAACAGACAGTGGCGTACTGTCATAGTTGGGGGCCTGGGGCGGCTTAGATGAGAGGGCCTTTTTTACATACATATATATACAAATGAAATAATAAATACCATAGTAGGCCTACCCTGTTTAAAATCATTTTATGTTTAAAATTATTTTAAACAGAGGGTACCATGGTGTTTATTAAAAAAGTAACCCTAAACAGTGATTAGAACTAAAAAGAAATATACGCTTTTAATGTATTTTGTATCGACTGATTAAATGAGCTTACTTCAACTATTTTAAATGTAATCTATTTTTGTATTTGAGAAAAATTTAATGATGCTAAATTAAGTTTTCCTTTGAGTTTTTAACATTTTAAGTTTTTATGAGTTGGAGATTCGAAATAAGCATGAGCACTCCAAGAAGTAATACAAATCAGGTTTTTTCTGACACATCTTTAAATTTTTTTTTATTTAGGAGATAGACCTACTATTTTTGTATAAAATACATTATATAATTATATTAGCCTATCTTTATATTATACATTATATTTTAATATAATTGGTCCAAAATTCTGTGTCCGACTTCTGTGATCGGGGCAAAAAAGAACGATATTATCCTCGGTGAAGACGAAATCGTGAGCGCCCGTGTTTGTGGGGTTGTAATCTCCGTCTCCCGCGGTCGCGCGGGTTATCTCTGAGACCGTGGAGCATTCGTAAACATGTCCTATGTTTACGGTGGAATAGTGAACATCTTTCGCGGATGCAGGGATATATTCTACATGCCAAAATCGTTAACATCTCCAGCGAACGCGTGGACAACATTATCGTCCCCCGCAATCGCGGCGAAATCGTGAACACAGAACATCTTTTGCGGTTGCGAGACCTTATTATCGTCACCTGCGATCGCTGATAGTCGTGATTTTCGATCGGGCAATCTTTGCAGACGCTTCACAGTGATTGCGAGAACAGATTATTATATTCAACAGCAAAATCTATTTTCCAATTTTTGAGACCCAAGTAAGGCCCCTTCCTAGGCCAAGAGGCCCTCGGCAATGGCCGTGTTCGAAGTTAGGGGAATATGGCCCTGATTTGGGGGCCTATGTTGGTGTGGGGCCTGGGGCGGACTGCCCCCGCCGCCCCCCGTCGGTACGCCACTGCTAACAGAGAGTTCTCTATGCACATTGTAGGCCTACATAATCCACAATAGACTTGAATAAGTATGGGAAGCTCATGTTGCTAAATTATTAAGAACTGATGCTTCATCAAATACAGTAGAACCCCTAATATTCGGCCTTGGTTTTACCGGTCCTCTGTTTATCCGGCCCCTTCCAGTAAGCCAATATCAAAATGTTTTTCTCCCAGCTTACAGACGTTAAGATGCAAGCACCAGTCATTGTGACTGCTCAAGTCATAAACTAATTGTTCTCAACATTTATCTATTTGTATATGCATTTATTTGCTGTGCCTCTATACTCAGTTGAGCTAGTGGGCCTAACCTCTGATCAGTTGGTTGATTATTTACAAAGCGGGGTTAGTACAGTACCGGTACATTAATTTTTGTATTTAACAAAATGGATAAGAATGTTGAGTAGAAGTGCATGTACCATTTGTCCTAATGATCTTCAAGTTCAATTTATTGTAATTTACCTCTATTTAATAGTTTTTGTTACCTGGAATCATAATATTTGTATGTTCATTACTTAGCAACTTTAACCTACAATTTACAAACACGTTAATTTTTCTAAAAATAATCCCAGAACAGACTTGAATGATACTTTTGACTGCAAATATTATTATTATTAGGTATGAATGGTCATTTTTATAGTAGGTTGGTTTATCTGGCCAAATCGTTATCCGGCCAGGGGCTTGGTCCCGTCGTGGCCGGATATCAGGGGTTCTACCTCTCAGGGGGGTACCTCTCTTATCAATACTTACTTCTCACCGTCGATTACACCATCGTTGTCGAAGGTCCTGAAGGCAGCGATGACAACATCATCCTCATCAGCCTGTCCTGACATGCGGTTGGCGAAGAGAGTCAGCATCTGAGTGAAGTTGATGGGGCCAGGAGCCTCACTAACCATCTCATCCAGCTCCTTCTCAGACACCAGCTTGCCGATCTGGTTGAAGGTGGACCTCAGGTCGGCCTTGCCGATGATGCCGTCCTTGTCAGCGTCCATGAAAGCAAAGCCCTGGAAAAGCATTGTGATGATAATTTCTGTCATTATGTCATCTAGAATTCTAGATCACTGATTATTAATTATCAAGTAATTGAGATGGGGACGCCACCTAGGTGTGTATATGCCACCCAAATATGAGTGAATTATGAGTGTAGAATGGAGTGAGATGATCTTTGTAGCTTTGTTACTGACTGGGATAAGCTGTTTTAATTAATAGCCAGGAACATTTATTTAAAGCCCAATGATCAGGGACAGCCGGGTCCAGTTTAAAACCATTAAAAAGCTACTGACTTTTCTCAGGATTGAACCGACGACCTTTTGATTGTTAGGCAAGCACTACAGTTTAATTGTTGACCTACAGATCAGTAATTAAGTTTACTCCTATGAATGAATCTTTAATAATAACTAGAGCTAGATTTTCCGCATTGTTAAAGTTGTTTTCAGTCTTAGAATAAAAATGAACCAAGTTGAATTTAGCCATTGACAGAGTGTTTTGATATAAATACTAATTTATATGAAATACGCAAACTTTTTTAGCAAGCCATACTAACAGGACCACTTATTGTAAAATATAGCATATTAAAAGTCACATCGACTGACTCATTAACAAAAATAAAACAGGAAATGAATTTAAGACACTATAACACCTAGAGTAGCTCTCAACATATTTCTTTTTAGTGATGGTTTGATTCCAAAATTATTGACTCCGATTATGATACCTTACCTCCAAGGTTCTCAAGATAATGACAGGTGGCTCTGGTTTTTAACATACATTTTCATTATCAAGCTGAACTCCATTTTCATATAATAGTTTGTGATTAATCCTCACAAGCAAAAATGGATTGTTCCTAATGACTTGGTTTTTTTAGTTAATAGTTGTATAGTAGTATGTAGTTTTATAATAAAAATTTAGGATAACTAGTGGTCGCCTGATGATAAAGCAGGATCACTTGACAATACAACACATAAACTAGAAGGTTTATCAGAAGCTAATTTGAAATACTAACTTCCTTGAACTCAGCAATCTGTCCCTGTGAGAACATAGAGAAGACATTGGAGCCGGATCGCTTGGCAGACTTCTTGGAGCCGCGGGAGCTGGCCTTGGTGGAGGCCTTGGATGGAGCAGGCTCTGGTTCGGGGGCTGGAGCGGGCTCTGGCTCTGGTGGTGGTGCTGCTTCTTCCTTCTTCTTCTTCTTCTTCTTCTCCTTATCAGCCTGCATGCCAACATATGTTATATTTTTAAAGTGTTAGGGTTTCAAAATTGTATTTACTTAAGGGTCACATAAGTTTAAGGAGGTGTGTGTTTTGTCCTGAGTGTTAATTGAGATGTAAGAGAATACATTTTTGTTTCTGTTCAAGTTAGTGTTGGTTTGCAGAAAGAAATGTTTAAGAAAATCAAAATGAATGAATGCCAAGTGGCAATAAAACAGATTGTATCAACATTTTGATAGAGGAAGAATTGTGTCGAAATAGGAATCTGAAAAACTTTACTTTCATGGGAATGTATCTTTATTATTGTAACAGTACAGAGTGCTTTTCAATGCTTTGCCAAACAATCCAAAAATTGAGTCAAACCCTGCGGTTTAAAAAAAATCACTTTGAAAATTACTAGTGTCTAAATGTTACTACTGTGTCCGTGAGTTTAATGCTGACGGGTGGTCGGAAACATATAGTGTGCTTTGTTTATTGATAAATCAAATGTAAATATTGTTTAGTTTAAAAGTTATTTTCTAGTTTATAAGACAGACTGTATTTTTAATGTATTTCTAACTTACCCAATGCATTAATGTAAATCTGGCCAAATAAATGACTTATTGACTTATTGTTCGTCAATATTTTTCAAGTGTATTGTGTCTTTTTGTCTTATGTAAGTTATAAAGTTTTTAATTTTTTGGACTTAAATAAAGCCAACTAAAGGGTGTGTACTGTACATATTCATTTGACTACCTATGGTAAAATCATTCAATGTTAGTAAGCTGCAAAATGAAGTAATACAATTATATATTACTTGTCTACCTATCTAGCTTTCCATAAGAATAATAGTTGAAATTGTTAAAATTTCAATTACAGTTTTTAACGAAAAACAAATTTTTTCAGAACAGTGGCTAGCATGGATATTGTTTTTAGCCTGAAACTGAGATATTCCAAACAATTTAGAGGGAATCATAGGAGCCATTTTTGAAATCATTGTGCGCAAATGTTACTCGTATTATAGTATAAATTAGAATTGTTATTACCACCTCTTAAAACAGTATTTCAATATTTTCCGAGTCGTCATTGAATTTCTCTTTGCCCTGAATTGGGTAGATATAGAGCAGCGTAGTAGAGTCCAGAATAAGCCAGCCGCCAGCCCACCACAAATAGCACCAGCGGCAGAGTGCCAATGTAACACTACTCTTACAGAAATAAACTTGCATCTTGCTCATTCCTTTTCTTATTTTTAACCTTCGGCCTATTTCAAAACGTTTGTTCTGCTTTCAGTTTTACATCAGCATTTTCTGGATGAATTCTGTTCTAAAACATTTATCTATTGAGCCATAATAAAAAAATAAGTTAAAAAAACATTATCAGACAAACCAAATTAAATTTACTAGATAGGTGGGCAATATGATTGGATATAAAGGCTTTGTAAAAATAATAATCTTAAAAAAATCCTTAACAAATTTTGTTGGACAAAGCTACTTTAAGAAAGTTTTTAATTTATATGCTTATTTCATTTCATTAGGTTGTATGTAAATCATAATAATAGGTTGCATTTTATTTATTTAATTCAATCTCAATAGCTACATAGGTAGGCTACATTTAAATGTTTTAAATTACTACTTTAATTGAATTGCATTTTCATTTTATTAAACTGTAACAAGGTCCAATGTACAAAATTTAGTTATGGTCATCGTTACCAAATTCTTTACCCCTTAAAATTGTCTTTTATTAGTCAACTATTTAGTTTTGAGTAAATAGAAAACCGATTTCAATCTCAAATGCTTTGTTTGGAGTGCTTTAAAAGAACTTTACTATTTACTTTGGTTATGTTGTGTATTTAGTCCAAAGACCTAGACTTTGTATGTCCGGGTTTAAATACAATTGAAAAGTGTACTTTTATTATAGTACTTTCATTTATTTGAGTTTTCCCGAAGTAAATTAAAGTTGAAAAAAACTAGTATAATAAACTCTTATGCAGTTGTATCGCATGAGACACACTGTACTTGTGACTTTGTGTTAGTAGTAAAGGGTCAGTAATAAAAGGTAAATAAATATTAACTTAATGCTTTTGCTGTTACAAATAATTATTATTTAATAAAAAAAAATACTTAAATGTAAAAAAAATATGTTTGTGTGCCTAATTTATGTTACAAAACAAAAAGTTGAAAGGCTACAAAAGTTAAAGACTAATTAGCATTAACTTACCACGGTAATAGCATGTTTGGCTCAATGTGCTCACAATCAAATTATAATTTTTTTGTTCCTAAACCTCTATTAGTTGTTACTTTATAATAATGATTGATTAGTCCTTTAACTGTTAAGATAAGCTATTTCCATTAAATCTGGTTTCAATTTTCAAGATAAGGTCCATCATGTCCAACTATTATCACCTCATATAACAAACTATTTACTACATTTGTTAATCATCAGATTCTTACGATGATTTTAAATTCCTTTTGGAAAGTATAATGCGGGTACTATAACAACAATATTATAGGTCACCAAAGGTACACTTGAACATAAAAATCTTTTTCCAAATAACAGTTACTGTACCTACGTAATTCAGAATCTGGCAGTTTGATATGCTAATCTAGTGCGGTACTATCATACTATATTAACTATTTATAACACTTTTTCACATGTGAATCATTTACCATCACATTTAAAATTTATCAAACAAGTTAGTTATATTTTCTCAGTGGAATAAAAAAGTAGGAGTCAAATGATAAGGCAAACACAGTGGTTGATGATGACTACTATTAACTATTGTCAGTACTCACCATTGTGTTAAGGTGCTTGGCGAGTCAACAAGAGTGGTGTACGGTCGGCGGTCTGGTGCCGACTGGGGTCTTGATCCACTCTCTTCCAATACCCACTGTTATCCTCCGGGGGTGGTTAAAAATAGCCAGCATGGATCTCGAACAAAACCTCCCATTGCTATCCCAGAATTCCATCAGTGAGTGCCATAAAAGGCCTACAGACCAGGAGGTTCACTTTGCCGAGCCGACACCTACCCCTCCTCCCAACGCTGATTGTACAAAAGCTCGGAACCGTGTAAGACAGCAACTAGGTCGCTCACGAGGGTCACGGCCAAAATTGTTTACTTCTATCCTGGGAGTGACTCAAGGATATGGAATTTGACTATTTTATAGAAAACGGTGGGAAAGAGAATGATTTGATACCATAAATTACTCTCCAAGTCTTCTCTTGCCAAGTGTCATGCTCGGCTTGCTAGCAATTAACCATGCTGCGTTCTTAATCTGGAGGATTTAGTATTTACCCTAATTATATAAAGTTCCACTTACTTACTTGCTTTGTTAAAATTTTAATACCTTTACTGAATTGTAAGTCAATATTAAGGCTGATCACAATCATTATTAAGTCAAAGAAGATAACAGTACAAAACTGTATACCATTTCAAAATTGTGTGGCAGCTGCCTAAAATATTAACACAATGATCACATCAAGTTACATGAATCAAATTGTACTAGCTAAAGTACCCAACCTTCGTACGGGGTTAACTTATATTTGTATTGTTCTTGTTGACGTTATACCGATATCTTGCGTTTGCAATGGTCAGACTTGGAAGGAGACAATTTGGTTCTTTATTGAAGTCAACTCTGGTAAAAATAATCTTACGACATAGAGCATAGAAAAATAATACAAAACTTTCACTACCTTGCATAAACTAAACATAAACATATACCTCTATTATTAACTATAATATATGAGAATTCCGTCAATATATAAAGTCAAACTTCAACCAACAACATATACAAACAGTTAAAAAAACACTACTGTTACATGTTACTCTAATATTAATATTTTGATCAAACTACAATGTTTCAGCACTGCACCTTAGCTATAGAAAAAAGTCAAACGTCAAAATGATCTGCAGTTTTTAAAACATTTTTTCAATCTAATTTCCAATGTACTTTAAATATTATTATGGAACACATGAGGTTATACAGGATAATTTACCATTGACATTGATTTTTAATAAAGAAGATATCCCAACCATATAGACTAGGTGTATCCTATTTTTTATGCAGAACATAAATCATCTATATCTATATATATAATACGCTAAGCCGATTTTTTTGAACAGAACTCCTCCCTCATTTTTGGACCGATTTTGATGATTAAAGTGTCAAAAAAATGGCCCTGATCTGTAGTTCTGCAAAGTCTTTTTCGTTTTTTGAAATCTTTATTAGTTTGGGCAGAATCTTCCATCAAGTTGGGTTTTCTCCCATAAGATTAACATGGGGGGAATCTAAATATTTAATTAGAAACCTTTTCTCCACTAATTTGAGAGAACGGCTGGGCGGAGAAACTTGGTAGATGTGTCCAAAGAAAGGTCTTGGTCTGTAGAATGATTTAACAAAAGAAAAACTAAGTAAGTTCCCTTAGGGCTCTGCTCCAGAAGCCTTCAAAGATCCCTCCACAGATTTGTTTCATTTTGGCCATGTGGATAATACTTTTTAATGAAACCGCTGTTAATTTTTAAATTGTAATTTAAACAACACACATTTATTGGGAGTTACTGAATTGTCCAAAAGTAATATTTGCAATGTTATTTTCTGATTTTAAAATGGATTTTCTTCTGTATCATGTCATGTTTTGCAATATAACGTTCCATTACAATATCTGTGGAAAATCCTTTATCACAGTAACTTATTTCTTATTGAACTATCTTATATCTACTTTAAGGGTTGGTGTCTGCCTTTTTCACCACTTTTGCCTATATTTTATCATATTATTGTAGACAGATCATCATATAGGTTCATGATATTATTGTCATACATGTTACAAACATTTTACAATATTTGTGTAGAAATATGTGTATGATTTAGAAAGTCAAGCTGGAAAACTGCAATATACTGCAGACTTTTCAGAGAGGTTACTTTGATGTATTCATTCAGCTTAGTTAAAACATAATATAGATATGTGCAAATAAGAACTTGAACTCTTAAAGAGCCTTATTTCGAATGTTATAAAACTAACGAAAAGGGCTGTGCAGATTTACTAGCGCTACTCAGCAACAAAAACCATTTAATTTATCCCTAAAAAATATATTCTTAAAGTGCACTGAGCAGCAGCCAAAAAAAATCTCTGTAACTTACCCATATAGTTACAAAATGCTCAAAATCGCATTGTGACATTTATAATTCGGCTTATATTTCTCCAACAGATAATTCATCTGCAGAAGAAGCTTATTGTGCTCTTACCGTGTCTAACAACATCCAAATACAGAAACGTTGCCTAAAACAGTACCTATCTTGACAAATTATTTGCAGTGGCCTATATTACGGACCGTGGCCCACTGGGTTAGTAACATTGAAAATAACACGACATTTTAGGCTGTAAAAAATATCACAATCTATCTATATATATAATACGCTAAGCCGATTTTTGTGAACAGAACTCCTCCCTCATTTTTGGACCGATTTTCAAGATTAAAGTGTCAAAAGAATGGCAGTGATCTGTAGTTTTGCAAAGTGTTTTTACTTTTTTGATATCTTTATTAGTTTGGGCAGGATCTTCCATTAAAGTTGGATTTTCTCCCATAAGATTAACATTGGGATTTAAAAAAATTTAATTGGAAACTTTGTCTCCACTAATTTGAGAGAACGGCTGGGCGTAGAAACTTGGTAGAGGTGTCCAAAGATAGGTCTTGGTCTGTAGATGAATTATCAAAAGAAAAAGGAAGTAAATACTCTTAGGGGTCTGCCCTAGATGCCTTTAAAGATCCCTCCACAGATTTGTTTACATTTTGGTCATGTGGATAATACTTTTTAATAAAACAGCTGTTAATTTTAAAATTGTATTTCAAACAAAACTCATTTATTGGGAGTTACCGAATTGTCCAAAAGAAGTATTTGCAATGTTATTTTCTGATTTTAAAATTGATTTTCGTCTGTATCATGTCATGTTTTACATTATAACATTCCATTACGATATCAATGGTAAATCCTTTTATCACAGTAACTCTTACAATTATTTCTTATTGAACTATCTTTCTTATATCTATTTTACGGGTTGGTGTCTGCCTTTTTCACCACTTTTGCCTATATTTTGTCATATTATTCTAGACATATCGTCATAGGTTCATGAGATTATTGTCATAGCCTACATTTTATAAACATTTTAAAATATTTGTGTAGAAATATATGTGCAAGATTAGAAAGCTGAAAAACTGCAATATACTGCAGACTTTTCAGAGAGGTTACTTCGATGTATTAATACATCTTAGTGAAAAAATAATATAGATATGTATACAAATAAGAACTTGAACTCTTAGAGAGCCTTTGAATGTTATAAGACTAACGAAAAGGGTTGTGCATGTTTACTAGCGCTACTCAGCAACAAGAACCATTTAATTTATCTCTAAAAAATACATTCTTAAAGTGCACTGAGCAGCAGCCTAAATAAAATCTCTGTAACTTACCTATATAGTTACAAAATGCTCAAACTCGCATTGTGGCATTTTATGATTCGGATGATACTTCTCCAACAGATAATTCATCTGCAGAAGAAGTTTATTGTGCTCTTACCGTGTCTAAAAACATCCAAACACAGAAACCTTGCCTAAAATGGTACCTATCTTGACAAATTATTTGCAGTGGCCTAAATTACGGACCGCGGCCCACTGGGTTGGTAGCATTATTGAAATTAACACGACATTTTGGCTGTAAAAAAATAGCTCAATGAGTAAATACTATTTAAGCAGCTACTGTCATGACAGGAAGGTAAATTTTTCAGTATTTTTTGCTTTTTGGAAATGCCACATTTCTATGTTATTTACATTATTTGCTGCCAATTAAGCCGCACGACCAAATAAATGAGGAGGCCCATAACAGTTAAAGAGTAAAAGCCAACTTCGCTTCAAGTATATTCCACTACACCTAACATTCCGTAGTGAGATTATATTGACAACTTTATGTAGGTAATTGATAAGGCTGAGACAACTAACTGACATCCCCCATGTCAATGAATTCTAGCTTTAACAGTAACCCCACAACCAATTTCTCAAAACTATGATTGAGGGTTGTTCATTGGGACAGAAGTACGATATGAACTGACCCGACATGACGAAGTAAAAATCAAACTTACACTGTAACGGATATACCTCCCTTTGAAGTTAAAACGGGTCTTCCCAACAAACAGATTTTTTTTCAAATAAAATCATAGATTAATCTGCATTACACTAATGAAATCACGGAATTGTTTAACTACAAAAGATCCAATAATAAGATTTTAATACTATTTAAAGGTTCTTCCAAAGGAAGAGATACCGGATAACATACTAATAATAACTCCGATGACATACGGTATGGAAAATATTTTATTCGTTGAGTGATCAGAAATTTTTGGTAACTAACCAAATTAATATAATTTATTGTTTTTACTATTACTCCTTGAACAAAAAACAATGCTAAATGCTCAAAATATGTATAATTTCACTCAATTTATCGCAGTTAGATAGATGAATTAGCGTAAGCCTTGAAAGTAACCGTCGATTTCGACGGGTTTCACCTAGTAAGTAAATACTATTTAAGCAGCTACTCTCATGACAGAAAGGTCATATTTCTTTTAAACTAGATTACATCATCCTTTATAAGATACGTTGATTAAAAATGCATGTAAACGTCAATATTTACGTAACAGCCAATTTACAGTAATTTTTGCTTTTTGGAAATGCCACATTGCTATGTCATTTACATTATTTGTTGCCAGAAGCCACATGACCATATAAATGAGGAGGCCCCAGTTCAACAATAAAAGCCAACTTCACTTCAAGTATATTCCACTACACCTAACATTCTGTAGAGAGATTATATTGACAACTTTATGTAATTGATAAGGCTGAGACAACTAACTGACATCCCCCATGTCAATGAATTCTAGCTTTAATAGGA